TGAGGGGAAAAAGAGGGACCAGTAGTGTGTGTGTGTGTACAAATATGAACAAATGCAGTGGATTGAATGAGCCTGAGTGTGTGTTTGAGGCAGGTTGTCTGTTGCTAGGGCCCTGGCTAGCTTTGTCTTTCTGTTCATCTGCCTAGTGACTGGTCTAGTAAGAAGAGAGGCATAATTTATGGTTTCCTGGGCGTAACATCATCACGTACGTGTGTGTAAGAGCGCCTGTGCTATAGATTGCTTATGCAATGACTCACTCAATGGGAGCATGAATGAAGGCAGGGGGGAAAAGGTGAATGCTGGAATATTAAGACACAAGCCTTCACCAACATACCTGTGTCAGTGCGCTCACACATACAGTGCTTCTCTTTCATCTCTACTGAATTCCAGCTCGGCAGCTTGCTGGGAGGACCTTTGCCAGGCTTTCACACTCCCAGGGTGTCAGGTGAAATACACCAAACTGTGCTCAGCTACACTCATATTTCCAAAAGTCTGTTTGCTTTGACTTTTGTTGCTGTGGCGCTTGAGAGTGTTTAAAATATGCAACTGTCACCATTGTGGTGCAGATTACAAAAGGCCAAACTGGAATAAACTGAAAACCTGGGCTGAGCAACGACAAAGATTTTTACAGTGTGATTTTGGCTCAATGAATAATTACATGGGTACCATCCCTGGCTTCTCTGCAGACATATAATCATACTCATATTCCAAAAACATACAATAAAGTAAAGATTAGTTAGAAATATTCCTTCCATTCTTCTTTGTGTGGCCCCACTTCTTTGCTACTTCATCCTCTGACTCTTTTGCTGCCATTTCTGTAAAGCCCACAGCCATCCCTTTTCCCACTGACTAGCTCAAACAGACTTCAACCATAAAGGCTAGAAATACTTTGTGCCAACCCTCATGCATACCCGGAAATGGACAAGGGATGCACATGCCTTCCTATTCATACTTCAAATCAAAGGTCTGCCAGCTGTCCGCATACACCAAAGATTCCTAAGCATTATGGTACATGTGCAGTAAAGCCTTTTGTTGTGTGGACCATCCGCACAGTGTCCGCACGGTCTGCACGGACCTTCACAGACCTGGAAAGGTGATGAAAATCATGTCACTTAACCACAGCAGACGTGCGAACATGCAAACCATGAGCAGCCCTTTAAAGATACCCTGCAGAGTTTGGACCACTAGTAGTGCTATAGAGTAATGTTGAGTGAGCCCCCTATTTTGTTTAAAACATCCAAGTGCACAAAACTACACATGAATGAGTATGAGCATGCAGTTGTCCTAGTGAGTTTTACACTACTCCACTGAGCAGTTAATATGGCAATGAAGGCAGTGAAGAGGACCGCTAGCAAGCAAACGCAACAAGCAACAACCCAAACAATGAAATGGAGAATGAATTAACATCTGAAGCAGGAAACCAGTTTTTCCAGCTGAATTAAATCAGTCTTTTCAGAAGATGTGGCTCAATGAATAGAGAGAGAACACTGTAAAACTGGAAATCAGACAATCAAGTGATCATGTGTGGGGAAGTACACATAGTACAAACCTCCAGCAAACATTTCAACAGCATAAGTAATAGGGAACTCTGCTCTGAGCAAGTATGCTGCAAAGATTTGATATAAAACAATGACAGAAAAAAATATATATTTTGCTTTGTATATTTAATAAACCTGCTTTATTGCTGTATTGTGTATAAGTTCTAGGTATGCAAAGTCAAAGTGGTGTCACACCGATAGTATCTAATCATATTCAAATAAGTTCCTCAAACTAACTGACAGCACAAAGCCTTAACATGGCAACATGTCTGATCAAAACCTCTGGACATATCTGCCATTTCACACTGCCAGAAGGCTGTCACACATCAGACAGCTCTCTTATGATACATTCCCAGTAAGTATTTATGGTGCCAACATGGTAGCCGCCCCCCACTCCTCCCATGTGCAAAAAGATCTTGAAAACTTTCCATCCGAGTCAAGTAAATCACCATTCAGCTAACTCAATGTAAAATATTAAAACACACAGGTTGTCTGTTCCAGTCAGGTTCCTGCAGTAACAAGCTGAGAAACAGAATGTCTGCCGTTTCTGAAGGGCACACAACTCAACAAGTCAAAATATACACTCAAGTCTCCAACAAAAACAGACAGTCATGTCAACACTCATTCTATCCTCACGTCCACTGCCATTTTGTCCTGTATCTTGAGACCCAACATCAAAAGCTTTCTACAGAAAGCCTCTGAAACACACTGTGTTTGTGTGAGTATACGTCCATGACCTTTTGCCTAAAAACCCAATAAAGGACATGCCAGGACCCCAAACTATTTTCTTCCACCCCTAAATCCTCATTAGCTGTTGTCACACTAACAACACAAAGGGCTGTGTTCGTGCAGGCCCATTGCTAAAGGGTACACAAACAGGGTTTAATAGGAAGTTCAGTTGGAGGGTTATTATTCATCAAGATAATACACTAGTTTTATACTTCTTACAGCTTACATAGCTTGCTTTCAAGTTTATTTGAGGTTCCACAGTTTTGCTATCTACTGACCAAACCGAAATAAGAAAGGGGCATTTTAAATTGCTTGGACAGCAAATCACTTTCTCTGCAGTGGAGCTGGGTTGTAAACTTTCTGCCATCTTTACAACACAGCTGTTGGTGAATTATTTGCTCATTTTCGATTGACCTACATTTTATTTTCAATCAATGAAAGTGATGCCGTTTGCCTCCTGTTCTCCAGGCAGTGTGATCACTGCAGTGGTCCAGGCCCGCACGAGAACCCTCGAGGCTGGCAGCTGCCATAGCGCTGCTTTCTTATATTAAAAATATTTGTCAAAATCAAATATCTTTGTTTAAACAAAATATACAATTGAATTAAGAATATCTGTATTTTGATTTTCTGTATGTCCTGCACATATGGTGAATTGACAATAAACTCCTTGAACCCTGAATATCTGTTGACAGGCCGACACCAATATCTGTGTGTGGCGACTACAGTCAATAACACAACTGTAATGATTCTGTCCTATGTTCCAGGTAAGGGTGTAGCCATTTAAGAATATGTATGTGTCACTTAGTGTGTGTATTTATTTGCCTACACCTACCTACATACCAGTTTAACTGTTAATCTGCGTCCCTGTTCCTGTACACTTTAATCAACAGTGATGTATGAGACAAGTCAACACATACATAATGACACAGTGTCGGTGAGATCATGGCTTCAACAGACAAGTTCTATCAGTATCTTATTTGTATTGAAGTAAGGACAAACAAAATCTTTGAAACTTTAAGTTGCAACCACCAAGAGTACTTCCTAATGGGTGCTTAGAGCAGATATGGTTGGTTGTACAGCTGCTGTTTACACACCTGGGTTGGGCTTTCAGTGTTTCAGGTAGAAAACGGTTTGACAGAAGCCGTTATGGAAGATTTTTAAAAAGTACCTTTTGTTATGCTCTCCCTATTTATCATTTTGTATTTCTTTAATAGCCACTGTCAGCAATCATGACAGTTTATTTTCCAAAGGCTTTAACCCAACACTGTGTGTGTGTATGTGTTTTCTCTATTTGTGTTGCTATACTCAACTGCTAAGATAATCTATCTCAGCAGCTACACTATTACACCTATAGATGCTCAATAAACACAAATATAGAAACTGATTTAGCTTTGTGCACTGGCTACACTGTCAACATGCAGACATGTAAATCTTTCCATCAAACACCAATGAGAGATTTCTCATTTGAAGAGAGGCATACGACATGTCAGCAGTTGGCCTAGCAATGCAATTCAAGGTCTATTTTGGAAACGATAATGGTTTTCAAGTCAAAGTCAAAGTGTTCATGTGAGCATATGTGGCTTTTCGTAATTACGACGAATCTACAGGTGAAAAAAACTGTTTATAAGATTAAAACAGCTATCATAGTCCGAGAAGCAGGGGCTTTGTTCGGGCCTTCTAATACTGATTTACAGAGCACAGTCACTGTGTTGCTTTGTCTTTTCACATTTTAAACACACCAACAAATACATTTCTCTAGTCAACCGAATGGAAACATTAAAGAGGTTTTTTATTTATTTTTTTTTACATCTTCAGATTACAAAATCCTTTACCATTCTGACACAAAATGTTAGTTTGTATAGGAGCTCGTAGATTAGATATGTTTATAAAGTGCCCTCAATAACCCAAAAGTGACCAACTCCAAATCTGGGAGCACACTTTAACAGTACTTCTGAATTCAAGTCTGCATCTGCTGCTCCAGAAGTGCCCTGAATCTCTGTATGCACAATTTTAACAAGTTTGTATTTACACCTAAAACAACAAAAGCACATTTCCTATTATCACACAGTCACCGCTTTGCTTATAAGTTTGTGGTCTTTTTAGAACATCAATTTTCTCTTCCACTAGACCATCTATGTGGGGATTTTAAAGCCATTCTTGTCCTAATCAAGGTGCAAATATCATGCATAAAACTTTGCATAATGTATGACATCTCCAGCAAAAGCCAACCTTCTTTTCTCTTAGACAATTTCTCAAACACCACTAGATTGTTCTTCACACTTTACAACGGATTATGAATGTTTCCGATGGCCAAAGGTACATAAAAAAAAAACACCTGTCATACTACTGCACTATAGTGAGATAATGGTGCAAATATGAGGACACTGAGTTGCTTCTTCTTCTTCTGTGAGCTATGTAAGGTTAACATGGAGGTGGCCAACAGGGCTGTCTCTGTTGCAACAGGTCAGTGGTAAAAAGTCAAGTTGGAGGACATGCCCTAACACACAGACTAAACAGAAACCTAATTTTGTTCTTGTGTTCTACAAAGAGTGGGAAATCCAGTGTGAGTGCGTAGGCACGCTGGTGAATCACTGCTGTATACCAAAGACAACCTGAGACCGTGGAAGGCCAAACAGAGCCTCTCTCCACAGCAGAAAAGACTTTCCAAATAAAGCAGATACTTAGGTTAACTGCAACATTGTTTTGGAGAATTGTCTTGGAGGTCAATCTTACCTGCCCAGCCGAATTTTCTATTACTTGTACCAGTGGGGTCCTTGTTGACATTTTTGAAAGACTTGGAGTTGTCAAAAAGGGTAAAGGAACAGTGAAACAGGAACGACTCTTCAGTGTCTATTGTACATTAAAACTTAGGTAGCTGATGGCTGAGGGAATTGTCAAACTGATTTCCAGTGCTAGCCAGCTAGCAGAACGACAGATAGCCCGTGAATCAACAAGTTGAATCCCACATCAGCGGCTAGCCGAGTTAGCAGCAACAGTACGTCCCATGTTTGTCAACAAGCACAAAACAGGAAAAAGCAAATGTCTTCCTTAGTTTCTATGTGGGTGTAAAAACATTCACTTTCCAATTACCATTTATCAGAGTCGATGGCGACCAACAACCTCTAGGCTGTGACGTTTTGGCCAGATAGCTACAGGGGCTAGCTTGTAGAAAAGTTGGGCAACGGTTGCACTGATCCAGACAAGGTTCAATTGGGTGGCTAGCACAAGCTGCTCACTAACTTCCGAGGAAGCCCCACTGTCACCGAAATCTACAATAGAGATTTATCCAACGTCGTTCTCATGACGCAGTGTCGTCGCTTATATTTCTCTTTTGTCGTAGAGCAGTTTCCTTTCAGGTTCAAACCAGGTCTGAGGTCTAAAACTTTGAGGCCAAAGTTATTCCCGGCGAGGTCTTGATCCTCCCAACTCACACAAAATGACTCAAAATATTGCCAGGGTGATATCCAAAGTAGGGTATCCAAAAATATAAGCAGCACCATGTAAAATGCTCACATGGCAGGTGAGAAACACGAATTAATCTGTTGCGCTAGCTAACTGGCTGGTCGCCGTTAGCCCATGTAGGTAGCCAATTCAGTGTTTATGTCGAAGCAGAGCTAGCCTGTTAGCTTCTCCCCCAGCGGCCACAACGGCGGTAAGTGCCACAGAGCAGCCCACAAAACTCAAAATCCACGGAAATCGCCGGCGCTCTTCCTTGTGTTGCGTGATAGGAATAAGGTCGTTCACCACTGCTGCACTGCAGTGTAGCGATATACCAGTTCGTCCTATCTGTACACCGACTGCTATTATTCCCGTGACCAGCCGAGGGAATGAGGAATCATCAAGTTGTATAATCCATTATAGGTAAACTGGGCTTTTCTTGTTCGGAGGTGCGAGCCACGAGCGACAAGGGGAGAGAAATGCGAGGAGCTGCGCCCGAATGCAGGCTATGCGCACGATCCTGTCCTGATACCGGAACAAGCTCGCGGCAACATGGCTGCTTGCACGACGACTGAAAGAAGAGTATAGGGGAGGGAGATGACTCGTTCGGTGTTCGGATCTACTCGGTTTTTTTCGACCCCTGAATGGTGGCCGCGGTTCTTCCAGGCTGGTAAAAGGCAGGTGCAGCGTTACCAGGGATCCCGTTTCCCGGGAAAAGTCCAGCATTATTTCTGTCCTACAACACTTCCTGACAACATATCCTCGTGACATTTTTGCCAGATGTAGTTACCATACTGAAGATAAACCTCCCAGAGTTGATTTCTTTGGTAATTGCTTTAAAAAGTAGTACTGTAGGCATAGCCTACATTTGGCAGGCTCATACAAATAACCAAAAAGGCAATGCTCATTGAAGTTATACATAGCCTATGTGGTTTATTTTGTGTAGCACTGCTGTTGGTAGTGGAGTGAAAATGTTAAGGATTCCAGGGGCCTTCATCTTGGATAAAATCTACACTCCAGTAAGATCAGTAAAGGCTCCCGGTGTCTTAGGGCAGCTAGAATATCTGACAAACCCCACAAAACTGCAGTTTTTATTTAGGTTTTGCAAATATATATATATAT